AGTTAGGCTTATTTAAGTTATTTGTAATGAAGCCATTATCTGAAATTTGATCTTTTAGTGTAAATCAATTAGTTCGATGTCAGCAAATATTTACTCATAAACCAGACTATGTCCTATCTCTAAGAACGGCCGTTTCTTTACTGACGTAAATTGGCGGAAGCAGCATAGGCTATTCTGTGTAACAGGGCTGTTTCCTTGAAATTCATGAGGTTTCATGAGCTAGCAAATTTAGTCTACTTTTTAAAAATGGCAAAAAGTTTCTCTGGTAATTGCTAAGGTCCATCAACAGCAACGTTAATACCTACCCAGTAGAGGCGTCTTCGCTTCCAGGACTTCGTGGTAGCCTTCTGTGACGAGAAGCATGGGCTCATCGGGTTGAAAACGTCCGGATCTGGCAAGCCGCTCGCAAGCTGACATGAATTTCTTGGAAAAATTGCTCGGATCAACGCCATAGGAGCGCCAGCCACCCACGCCATCAGCAACACCTAGGAGTAAAACGCAAGTTATTTAATTCAAACAATGATGGAAAAGATCTACTGGGGAAACAAGTACTATCATTAATATTTCCAGGCGAGGTCTGTAGTTTCTAACACATTTAATTTACCTTCCACAAAGAACATTCCAGACTATTAATAGTTTCGCAAGAAATAAGGTCGAAGGTTGTGGTGCCCAAAAATTACGCAATTGCTACGTAACGCTGGCAATAAAGTAGCTTTAACTACCGGTTCGTGGAACATGATCTCCTGACTAGGGTAAGCCGCAATGGTGGACGGTGAAACTTAGGAACGTTTTCCGATCACCTACTAACCCTACTGTTACTAAATGGAAAACTGTTAACCGAAAGTTCGTCTCAATTTTTAGGAAAGTCAAGGGCTCTGGAAGGAAGCAAATAAGGTGATCTTAAAAATGCTTCAGATAAAAGATGGTAGTGACAACCGTTACACAACAGTCAGTAATATCCTACAATATCAGACCACCACGTGAGCAGCTGCGGCTGAAAAATTTTTAAATACATCAATCGTCTCAATTACAACACCGACACGTGATTCATAAAAAAAAACAAGAAATGCACGCTCATAAAAATCGTGAAGGACAGAATGCGTGACTTTTTTCCCGAACCCTGCGCACTCATCACAGCGCCACCTAGGCCGACTTTCTTACTTAAGCTTGGTACAGCGGTGATCATGCTTGATATAGCTGGTCTCAATTACGTCACCAAGTGCACCTCTTTGCGCGTAACCATCTGAGGCAGTGGATCCGGAGAGCTTGACCAATTCTCTCTTCCAGTAACGAAGGTCCAAAAAGCACTTTCATTTATTGATGAACCGTATTAAGAAAAGTTTTGAGTTGACATCTTCGATGCTTCGAAGTGGGTAACCACGCCGGGTGGAGAGCATAAACATAAAGTACATGAGGCGGGCAACGAAGAACGTGCCCAGACCACTACGGTCGTCTTTTTTGGATGGCCTGAGATATCCTTGCGATTTTGTCACAACGAGTCAGACTGTCTTACTTGCGACGAAGTCGATGCTCCTCACTTGCAAGATGGTCCTCATGCAGCAATGGCCAAACACCCCCATTTTAGCTTATCTTCCACGCATTCAGTCCAGAACTCATAGTGCCGACACACCCTCTGTTTCCATTATCCGCTTCAAAGACTTACGATGGACGAAATTGTAAGCTGCGGCGAATTCAACAAAGCATACAACCATCGGTTACTAACAGTCATAGTAGAATTTAAGAACACGACTTAGCTGGTGTGTGCATCCACGCCTAGTTTGGAGGCCCGGTTCCGCCTTCAAATTATACAAATTCTTAAATAGCAAGAGAATGAGGACAGCTAAAACCTTCGTAGCAACGTCGGTTAGATGGTAATCCCACAATTTATCTAAGTTCCCCTTTCGAGAACAGGCACACGGATGTCGAGCCCTAGTCATCAGAAAAGACTTAATTTCCACACACCTGCTCAATCATCCAACTGAACCAGGACGTCAATGCCAACATAAAAAACTCGTTATTCCACAAACCCCAGTGCCCAGTGTTGGTCAAGACAAAATGTGTAGCAGTTCGTTCTTTTCTACGCTCTGTCACAAAAATCAAAGGCCGGTGTGTGTGCGTGTCGTTCCTGCTATCTCGGTAGTTCAAAGGTTAACCAGTCAAGATA